ACTTGTTTTCAGTTTCGACAACGATTTCTATCCAAGGGAACGGTCAGTGCTCATACTCGGTGGAAGTTCTAAATTACTATAAGGTTTGGAATTGACAACCAATTTTCTTAGCTGTTTTGTGATTTAGGTTTGTCGTTAACTAGGAGTGAGAAGAAATATTAACTAAAAACCAAAATATTCAACATTTAAGAAGTGTTGATCATTACCTTCTGTAGAAAGTCTCATCTCTTAGGACTTCCTGGCGCAATGCGGCTTGGGGGAGGGGCCGGTAGGGGGGAACAGCAAGTGAAATTGTGCCGGATTCACCGAAATGTTCAGTTCCAGGACTAAACTCCGGAGGTAAAGAGGGAATCCACGATGCGTAGTCAAGTCCCATTCTCTCCGGAACTCATCCCTCTCTTCGGAATTCATCCCTCCCGTTAATCTTAGTCCTAGTGGCCTTCCCACAGACTGCGCCCCACCCTTGGAGGCGGAGGCACATCGCGCGGACTTCTTCCTTCTTTATTTCCTTAGCATAAGTCACGCGCCACCACAGGTCCGTCGCTTTTGAAGGGGAGAGCCCTTTAAGAGAGTCACTTTCTAATCTAGAAGTCTTACGCTGTGGCCTTGACTTCTGTGGAAGCAGAAAAATTATATTTCCCGCTAATCAGTTTCTGAAACCCTTTTTTTCTCGTGGAAAAAAATTGCATTCCAAGTGAAGGTACGCAAAAACTCCTCCATATATAGACTACTGCGAGTAAAATTTATCACATTCAATCATCTTTCAGATTGGCTATGTTTTCCAAAGAAATAACCTTGGACGAAAACGGTTTCTTGGGGCCAGCATCAGGTAGTTTTGTTACTTTATACATTCAAGATATTTATGGAGAAAATACTACTGTAACTCAACCTTTAACGACGGTTCGAAACAGTTTGCCATCACGAAATTCTCTTATGCCTGAACGACCTTTTCTTCCTTTCATAGGGGCATTGCAAGATCTAGGGTTGGCTTTTTCATTTTGTCGAATATTCCTGCTGCCTTGACAAAGCCAGGATTCTGTCGGGTGGAGAAGATGCAGATTTGTCTGCGAGCAGTTGAAAGCGGAGTTCACTTTTAGAAGGCAGCTCATTAGAATTAAGGTAGAGATGGTCAGTGGTGCAGGAAAAGAAAAAATTATGAAAAGCGAGTCCAGGACCCAAAAATGGCTCCTTCCCTTGCCCGTTTATTTCCGCATTGCGACTCCTTCGGTGCTGCTCTCTCCAGTGCTAACGCTCTTATAGAGCTAGAAACTGTGGCGAGTGGTTGACCAGTCGGTGGGCGTGCTCCGTCAATGGCGCCGCGAGTAGAGGCCATGCTAGGTC